TACAGCGAGTAATACTGCTATAAACATGGTTGTACAAATATCTATTTAAGTTCCTGCTTTCAATTCTTTGGGTAAATGTGGTAATTCTATACTTAATGTTTTAAAAACCACCATCTTATATTCCATAGCAGCTGCATCATTTTATATTCCCAGCAGCAATGCAAAGGGTTCCAGTTTTTTCATATCCTCACCAAGACTTGTTTCCTATTTTTGATAATAGTTATCCTAACGGTCATGAGATTGAGCCTGCCTCAGGCTCCGTGCTGGGCATGGAGCCTGCTTAAGATTCTCTCTCCCCCGTGCCCCTCCCCACCCTGGCTCACACAAACACACACACACACACGAGCTCTCTTAAAAAAAAAAAAATTATCCTACCAGGTATGAAGTGATATCTCATTGTAGTTTTGATCTGCATTTCCCTAATGATTGGTAATATTGAGCACGTTTTCATGTGCTTATTGGCCATTTGTATATCTTTTTTGGAGAAATGTCTATTCAAGTCCTTTCCTCATTTTTAAATTAGGTTTTTATTTCTTGGTTGTTGTTACCAAGTTTTAGAAGTTCTTTATATATTCTAAATATTAAGTCCTTATCACATCTGTAATTTGCAAATACTTTCTCCTGTGGGTTGTCTTTTATTCTGTTGCTATCGATCGTCCTTTGATATACAACCTGAGGAGTTTCTTAAAATGCAGACTGTAGATCCCCACCCTAGACCTACAGAATTAGAAAACCAGGAGGATAGTGCCTGAACATCTGTGCTTAAAAAGTGAACCAAGTGATTATTATGCCCAACTCTCTTAGTTGTTGCCCTTAAATTTTTTTGTTAAAACTTAAAAAGATTTTTTGGCATAAACTTGAAAACTGACCAAGATATCCTAATTCTTTTTTGATGAAATATAAATCCTAACACAATTATCCCCAAACTCCAATGTTTTATTGAAATTATATGGAATTTTAGTTTTTGATTCTTATTTTTTTTTCTTTTTTTTTTTAAGATTTTATTTATTTGAGAGAGAGCACAAGCCAGGGGAGGGGCAGAGGGAGAGGGAGAGAGAATCTCAAGCGCACCCCTTGCTGAGCAGAGCCTGATGCAGGGCTCAATTCCAGGACCCTGAGATCATGACCTGAGCCGAAGTCAGACATCAAACTGACTGAGCCACCCAGGCACCCCTCTTACTAATTTTCTTATACCATCCCTTCATATTCTTGAGAATTCTTTCTTTATAACTGCATTAAGCCTCTCAACTAAACCATCAACAATTATTTAGACTTAAATATAAATTTCTCAGTTCCTAGATGTCAACAGTTGCTTTATTTTCCCTCACATATTGATATTTTAGCCATTGATTACAACTATAAATCAAAATTATTTTCTTGCAGATACTATCATATGAATTTTGTCACTTTGACAACTTCAACTGTCTTCCAGAATTCTATAATGTAGATGAAAAGTCTGTTCTTCAAAGTCTGTTTTTTTATTTTAAAGATTTTATTTATTCAACAGAGAGAGACACAGCGAGAGAGGGGACACAAGCAGGGGCAGAGGGAGAGAGAGAACCGGACTCCCCGCTGAGCAAGGAGCCCAATGTGGGACTCGATCCCAGCACCCTGGGATCATGACCTGAACTGAAGGCACCCTCAAAGTCTGTTCTTCTGAAATGAGTGTGATTTTCATTTATTTGTAACCTGTTTTGTTCTTTTTGTCTTTGTTTTATAAATAATTTTCTTTCCCTCTTTCTCACTCTGGCATTGTTTAGCCCCTTTCTTTATCTCTGCAACTTAGAAATATCACCAGTATGTGTCTGTATGTTTTCTCTCCTGCCCTGTCATTGTGTTCTAAAATATTCATTCCTTTTATTTTCCATATCAATCTCCATTTTCAGTCCTCTCCATTATATTACTTAGACCTTGAACTGAATTATATGGCAATAGCTTTAATTTCTAAGAATTTCTTTTTTTTTTAAGATTTTATTTGAGAGCGAGAGAGCACAAGCCGGGGGGAGGGACAGGGGGGAGAGGGAGAAGCAGACTACCCACTGAGCAGAGAGCCTGACACGGGGATCATGACCTGAGCTGAAGGCAGATGCTTAAAGGACTGAGCCACCTGGTGCCCCTAATTTCTAAGAATTTCTACTTTTCTCTTCTATGCACACTTTTTTACACGGTGTCCTATTCTTATTTTATTTCCTTCAGGGTCTGTTTCTCATCTTGGCCCTTTTCTTTCATACTGTTGGTTTTATTAAACTATCTCATAATTCTTTTTTTTTTTAAAGATTTTATTTATTTGAAAGAGAGAGCGTGAGCAAGAGAGAGAGCATGAGCAAGGGGAAGGGGAGAAGCAAGACTGCCCTGCTGAGCAGAGAGCCTGACGTGGGGCTCAATCCCAGGACCCTGGGATCATGACCTAAGCCGAAGGCAGTTGCCTAACCAACTGAGTCACCTAGGCGTCCCCTATCTCATAATTCTTAATTTTCCATTCATAATTACAAATGAGGAACTGGGTAGACTGCATAGGAAAGCTGGTCTGGATTTCTACACAGCTACACAGGTCAGTTTAATCATTTCCCCCTTTTTATGTTCCATGGAGATCTGGGATTACTTTAGGTTCAGCTCTGCTTTATGATCTGGTCTTAATGCCCACTGTAAAAACCTCCTGTCAGTCTGATTCCCCACTTATTTATAAAATTTATGAAATAAATCTTTCACCTTTGATCAAGGGGCATCTGTTGTAGGCCAATCCCTCTTTATATATGGGGTGTAGGAGAGGAAATGGCTTTAGAATTAGCGCATCAATTAATTTCCCAAAGAATTCAGTCTGGTCTCTTCCTACATCTTACAGTTGCTGACCCAAGCTTGAAATTTCTCTGTGCTCTCCTACCAACTTTGGACTGTGGCTTTTCTCTGCTGGTTTCTTGATCATATATACATTCTGTTTACCTTCTATCTTCTAGGAGTTTCTTAAAACTTCTGATCTATTAGTAGTGACCCTCCCTCTCTTCCTGCAGTATTATGGGTTTTTTCCTTCTTCTTAAACCAGTCCTGTCATAATAATGGGATTTTGAGATGGACAGAAAATAAACTGCTATTATCAGCCTGCCATTTGGGTTCAGATTCAGGGTTATCTTAAATACAATTTTTTTCCTAAGGTTTTCTCTATCTTCTAATCACAGTAATATTATAAGCAACCTAAAAGAGTCAAAAAGGAGTATTTTTAGATAAAAAGTACTTGTAGGTCACTTTAAATTTTGTCAGTATTATACCTGTCAATTGCTTGAAGATCATTGGCTGGATTCCAAGTAGGATCAAATAATACAACAACATTGGCACCAACAAAATTGAGGCCTAGTCCACCAGCCCTGGAGGAAATAGAAAAGGGCATATTAAAATAGCAAAAACATAATTGTTGCCCTCTAATTCAATTGTGCCATGTTTCTGTAACCAAATCAAATCAACCAATCTATAATCAATATTGCATTAACATCATAAAAGTAAGATGATTAAAACACAAACATGTCACAAACGAAATAGCTATGGAATATTATTTTTCTACCATTCTAGAATATCTCTAAACAAACAAACAAACAAACAAAAACCTGACCGTTAAAGCCCACATAAGTAGGCTGTGCTGTTTTTTTCATTTTTTGGATATTCAAATACTATGCTATAAAGACTTTCCTAACATACTTTCTAAAAATTTCAAGTATAGTCCAGCTAAATAAAGTACTATACACATTTTTAAAAATCAATACAGGAGTAGATGTACTTCTTATTCCTTCCACTAAGTGCAGCTAAAAACCCCTGGACATCATATTTATATAAGATTCTAAAAGGTAGAGAGAACAAGATTGGCTAGGGACTATACGAACTAAGGAATGACACGGCAATGAGTTCTCCAGCTATCTTTTTGCTTAAAAATCCCAGACTGGGTTCTGGAGAAACCAGCATACTGGAAATGCCAACAGTCAAGACAAAAAATCCCTCAAGAAAAGCCTTCTTCCTTTAGCCAAAGAACCAGGAAAGGTATAGCCTTTAAGACAGAAAGATAATAACAGCCTATCCTTGTAAATACCATGGAAAAAAATCTATGGTCCCACTCCCAACCTGGTCAGTAAAGGCTGAGTGAGGAGATTAGATTTCCACCCTTGCCTAACTACAATGGGGTGCCTCTCACCCACACCCAGGGAGTGTCAGAGAAAACTGACTGAGGAGCTGGGGACATTCATTTATGCTCAGCTATAACCAGATTCCCTCTGTGATGTCAGTGGAGGCTGTATAGAAACAGTAATGAAGTGCCTCACTCTCAGGATGTCAACAGAAGCCAAGCAAGAAACACGGATTCCCATCCTTATGCGGCTGGCATGGTGTCTGGCTAAAACAAGAAAAAAGCCCCACTATAGATAAGCTCAAAATAAAAAATAACAAAATGTGTGAAGAAACCATCTACCATAAGCAAGAGCCAGAAAGAACAACAAACAGAGGGATTAGCAGCCCCAAGTACAGGAGTTAATAGAGCAAAAATGCCATTCAAAAAGAGATTTAAAAAAAATAATGATTAAAATTACTAAAGAAATAAGAGAAAGATTAGAAACCATAAAGAACAAAATATGAGTAAAAACAGGCAGATCTGAAAATATCAATAGGACTTTTAAACATGAAAAATAGTCTTTAAAAATTCAATGAATGGGTTAAATAACAATTTCTAATATAAAGAGATAATTAGGAGCTTTATGGCAAATCTTATCAAATTAGATGGAGTGAGCAGAAAAGGAGTGAGAGATGACTGCTTGTCATCAGAAGTTCTATACCATTTGAACTGTTGCTGAAGACGTTTATGACTTTGAAAAACATTAAGAAATTAAAAATGCTTATTATTTAAAAAATTAAGAATGCTTGTGTGTACTTTATAAAACTTAACTGAAGACAATATTCTATGTCATTTATTGCTCTATAGGTAAGGAAGGGCTCATGTGAGAAATTACTTCTTGATTCATTCACAGGAAAATGGGAATCCAGAGCGTCTCTCCTTATGACTTCATTGCAAGAATTTGAGAATAACTTCAGTGTTCAACAGTAAGTAGCTCACTCATCATATATATAATTTTATTCCTCATTTTAAGTAATTATTGTGTTGACTTTTTACATTTTACATATATTTGTTTTTAAAGTCCTTTGAAATTCTTTTTGAAAGATAGTGGGGGCAGATCTATAAAATACTTATTACATTAGATGTCCAAGTAAGGATTTGTTAGCCCCAAAAAGGGATTAATCTTCTTAGGTGTTTATATTGGCTTAAATCTTTCTCTAAAGTGCGTATATTCTTTAAAAGGTTTTAATGAGAAATTCATAAATAGGTGTTAGAACTGACCTAACTTCTATAAAACCTATTAATATGGAGCTGCTGTGGTTAAGACCAGGTAGACAAAGGGAGGAAGTACATGGCCCACTAAGCCCAGTGGGCTCTCTAGTGCTCCTTGAGCACAGTTTAAAAACCACTGCTACAAATGATTCTCAGTTATATGATTAATAACTTGATTATTCAATTAAGTCTGACTGTTCTGACCACAAGACATGAATAAGAACACTATCACAGAAAATTCCTGGGAGGAAACATCCATTTCTTTTGATTGTTATCTTTATAAACCCAGACATATAAGGAGAATTCAGTGATGATAAGGAAATTGAGAGACAAGGTTAGGTAAAACTCAAGATATTGTTATTTCAGTCATAATTAATAGCATTTTTGCTGCTTCTCCTTAAAGCCAAATAAAACAAAGCAATATAAGCATAACCACTGAAAATTAATCCAGTAATAATTTTTAAATTACCCTAAATCTTAAAAGCAGTTAGATAAAAATCAAGTTATCAAATTTTATTTTCTTACATTGTGGAGACAAGGCAAATGTTAACATCTTGTGTACTGTTGAACTCTTTCACAATCTTGATTCTTTCCTCTGATTTCGTACTTCCATCAAGTCGTCGGTAATCAAGGCCGGCTGCCATACAGTATTGCTGCAGAACATCAAGCACCTAGAGAAAAGACATGAAGAAGGGCAAAGACAAATTCATGGTTTAATAAGTTTCATACCACTATAGAGATAAGATTTACTAAGTATTAATAATTGCTGCTTACAAGTTCTTTCTTACAATTACAAGAGCAACAAATATTTTCCTGGCTTCTGGCTCATGTATTTCTTCCCATTATCCTGAAACTGACTTTAAAGTTCACCAATATTTGTCTTAAAAAAAAAAAAAATCGGGGCGCCTGGGTGGCTCAGTCGTTAAGCGTCTGCCTTCGGCTCAGGTCATGGTCCCAGGGTCCTGGGATCGAGCCCCGCAT